AGGTGATAAGTTACTAAAATTGCTTATACTTGTTGTGATGAAGGGGGAAGTCATTTCTTTATACGTTTATTTTTTTTCTTTACTACATTCTTATGTTTTCTTTCTTTTCTATTTTTTTCTTTTCTGCACCTTCTATTTTTTCTTTATATTTTCTTTGTATTTTTTTAGTTTGCATTCGATTTTATTGTTGCAATTGTAATTTTTAATAAAATTACTATAAAAAAAAAAGGAAGGTGATGAAAAGAGCTGGCGTGGCGGGGAGCAAGCAAGCTTACTCCGAGCATACCCACCCAGCCAGCTTCCTCTTGCCTTGTCCACTCAGGAGCCATTTTTCACACTTTGAAAATACAGATCGCTTTTAGCCTGGGTCCATCTGGTTTCTCAAATAGCCTGTCTCTTTGATAAATAACATAAATTAAATTAGACAAGACAAATAAATAGGTTTCTTTTTTTTCCCCTTTTCCTTCCCCGCTCCTCCCCTTTCTCAGCATCTACCCTGGTCCTCCCAGGATGGAAAACAAAAGCAAATAGAATTCGGCAAGTGCCTGAAGCCCCTGAAAGACCCACCTCACCAGCCGAGCGTTTGAGGAGCAGCAAGGAAGGCAGGAGGCTTGCGAACGTGTCTGAAATGTTAACCTTGTAACACAGACCGCAGGCCACGACTGGCCCACGTACCTTTTAAGCTTTTTAATCCCCTCGGCTGCAAACCCGTGCTGCTAACGAGGCCAACAGGTTAGCAATGATCCAGCTCTCTACAGTTTCCAATTTCTCACCCTGCAAGGGTCTTCTCAGCAATTCTCCAAAACTCAACCATCATCTTGCTCACCCAACTATCTCATCTGCACACGCCGCTGCTACTGCAGCGGCAGCTCACCAAGGAAGGCTACTACAGCCCAAGTTTCCTGGATTGGCCTTCCAAGTTCGATGCACGTTGAGCCTTTTGGATGGCCGGATAAGGACAGGGCAACTGTCCTGACCCTGCTGTTGTCCATATCGCTGTTTCCAGCATGGGTGGTTCATATTTGCTTACAACTGGCTCGGATTAACCTGTTTTAAATTCTCTTATCGTTGTATGTTGCCTAGAGTTGCTTCAGCACTGAGGCAAATAAACTGATGACATGATTACATAAATAAGTAAGACTGACACCTGAAACGGCCTTAGTTTTTCGGCAAGCATTAATGCTTTTTGTCAGGAAGTGTCTTCCCAGAGATCAAACCATCAGGGCCAATCAGCCATCTTGCGTGTTCGAGACATACACTTCATTTTTAATGCAAGAAAAAAAAAATGATAAAGCTCAGGCCTGCAGGCGGGGACCTGTCACTCACCAGCCCTGGGAGCAATGAACAAGGTCCAGTGAAAGACTGCAGTTGCGGTTCTGCTCTGGGAAAGCATTCTCTGTAACGTTTTGTTCAACGAAACACCAGATGTGCTCTTTAACATCACGGAATGAGGGGTCCCAGGACGAAGAGAGTGGCAGCAAGAGATGGCCTCGGCTTGCTTTCCTGTAACACGCATGCCCACAGCATGTGCACATGGGTGATGGCATGTGTCAGGCTCTCATCACACAAATGTGCAACTCACATATTAGCCTCAGATGTTGTGATGTCTTTATGTCAGTGTTTCTCAACCTCAGCAACTTTAAGATATGTGGACTTCAACTCCCAGAATCTCCCA